AGAGGAGGAGAAAGAGGAGAAAGGGATGACCCCGGACCTACGTCTCCTAAGTCGTTTCGCTCGTGGGGTGTTATTATCATTGCATGTACGTGACACGTGTCTGCATTCGGGTTCGTGGCTCCTGTCTGGTTACAAACTTTTTACAACTTTTCAAAACCCCCTTAAACTCTTTCATCCTTGGCTTAAGGATTCGGAGGATCTCCCGAGCGATGCCCGAGCGATGCCCCGTGCGATGCCCCTAACTCCCATCGGTCAGACCCTTGCCTTTCTGTAATCTAAACTACCGGATGCCGAGCCATCTTGGGATTTGGGCTGAGGTCCTAAACTTTCAGATTTGATGGAAACTGAACTATGCCGTGCAGCTGGGTGATTTCGGTAGCATGGTCTGTGTGGTTGCGAGAGATCCCTTCGGGTTTACGTAGGGTTGAGGAAGGGGTTACATATAGGTGATTTAAAGAACATAGAACGGTTACATAGGCATTACAGAATTTACAATGGAGTGATCTTCTGTAGGGAGGGTTAAAACAGCTTAAAATCCGTAAATGCAAAACCCCAAAGGCACACGACAAAGCATTGACCCTCAGTAGAGGCAATTCTTTCAAAAAAAGTAAAACGCAACTCTGCGAGAAGGGGACGGCAGCGCTCCAACTGTTCAGCAGCAATATTCTTTTAGCCCAGGGATGAAAACTGGCAGCACCTGAATTTTCCACCCTGGCCTCCTAACAGGTCCCAATGGTGTAAGACGGCGTCCCTCTGTAAAGGGTTCTTTGCTAAATGCGTGCAATTGTGGGCCGGGCCGGCCTCGTGCAATATCCCGTTGTGAGGGAGGCTGGAGCTGACGACCCTGGGGCTACCTTCTTAGAACTGGCCGCCAGCTTTGAAATCTCTATGGGTGCGCCGTTATCGGTCAAGGTTTTGAAGCGCAGCAAAAATGGTTGCGATCCGGCTTGGAGGCTTTTTGACGCCATTTTTGGAGCTGATTGCGCGTGGGCTGATAAGACCGCTGCTCTGCGGAGTGCATGCGCGCAGTTGTCCAGGCTCCTGGATCAGGCTCTGCTTCAGGGCGACAGTGCTGCCACAAACGTGGCCATTTTGCTTGGGGTCCCTGGATAAAAAAATCCAGGGGTAGCGGCATTCATTAAGTTTCAATAAGCATTCGCGCTTCCCTGCACAGGCGGAGGTTTGCAGGGCATTGCACGCCCAATTTGGCGCATGCTCTGCAAGGGTGGGGCCCCAAAGTAGGCGTCCCGCCTGGACGCATAATGCGGTTGAGCCTGCCCGGGCTTTAGTGACAGAAATGGCGCGCAAGCGCCGCTTAGGGCTTCTAATGTGTGGCGGTTCCTCCGGCGGCTGCCTGCGGTCCATTTCTTTTGGTTGACTAGGCTTACGTCCCGAGCTCTGCCCCCCTTTGATGATGTGAAGCTGTTGCTTAGGTGAACCCTTTTTGATCGTGAGAGAAGGATGCTTTCACAGCCACCTCTGCTCATGCGCAAGACCTAGCTACGTCTACGATGGGGATGAACGCCCGCGTGTTTGCCGAGATTTGACGCGATGCCGCAGTGCACCTCAACTTTCCCGACAATTGTGTCCAAGTCGACGGGCAGCCGTAAAACATCCGCACGCAGAGCAGCAGCTCCGACGCGACCTCTGGAAGCTTAGACAAGAAAGCCGCTCGCAAAATACTGATGTACTCGCCACGCAACGAAATGACAACCATTCCCGCATGGGATTCCGCAGATTGGACTGTGGCAATCCCGGTTTGACACTTTGACGCATGCATTGAAAGTGACGCGGGGCCCAGTCGAAAACACCGTCCACATCCTCAGCGAGCATGCGGGCGATCAGGAGGCCAAAGGTGTCGCCAATGGTTGTGCCTCGCACGTCGCCATTAAGTTTTCTGCGAGCGGTCAGTTGTGCCATGGCTACAGCAACCACAGTTCTTCATTTACGTGCCCACGGGCCAGCTGCGTGGCCGCATGGGCCAGGAGCTATTGCGCACGAAGGTCCTGGAGCAAACCTTGCCAGACTTATCATTCTCACATTACCTCCTTTTTACCAGGCCAAGGACTTAAGCAAATCGAGCGATCGCATTCCACCAGCATGACTTCACACTTCTCCGTGTGTCGTGTGTCCTGCTCGGTCTCTTCGTGTCTGTATGTCCGGGCATGTGTAGCGTCGTGTGCGTCATGTGGTGTGGGTCGTGTCCTCGTCTTTGTCTCGTGTCTTCTTGTAATGTCATCTTGTCTTCGTGTTCTTTCATACCTGGTCTTCATTGTTCCGTCTAATCATCCTCGTCGCATCTGGAGAAATCGTGACATGAGGTCGCTGGGATTTGGCCCGTGCCTCCATTCGGGTTCGTGGCTGGGCTTCATGCTCATCATGTCTGAAGCTGGCAGGCACATAACCAAAACATGCGCTCGCAGTAGCAGAAATGTTGCACACACGAAGTGCGATCCTGCCAGCCAGCCTTGCCTCTCTGGCAGCGGTGCAGTGTATTAAACTCAGTGGCGAAGACAAATGACAATAACAGCCATAACAACGCTAAAATGGGCTTTCAGAATAGCGGCGTTATGTTCGGGGCCATGCTTGCGATAAGCAGAACCTGACAAGGCTACAAGCAAAGGCACGTGTTGTTTAATTTCATGGCGATCTCGATTTCGCCTCTGGAGCATGCGTAGAGACAGAAGCATTTTGAATGTCACACACACACACACATGGCATGCGCTGCAATGCAAGGATCCCCAAATCATTCATCCCCCAGGATTGAAATTCCGAGAAAAACCCTGCAACTCTTTTTCGATACTTGAGATGCCGCAACTCGGTCCTGAAAAGGTTGAGGTTACGCAGGCGAAAGTGAAAAGCTGCAAGCATGGATTTGATGCGCTCCAAAAACAGGGGTCAGCTTTTGGAGGCTCCCTATGAGCAGGATTTCAATCAATTTGGATGTATATGAGTGACCCCGAGGCCTTAAACCCCTAAACCGCATGGATCCCTGTTTTTGGAAACACCCATCTAGGATCCTCTTCGAGTGCAGATCCTAGCGATTGTTGCCAGCAAACATGGGGTTGTTTCTGAAATTGTGTGGTTCTAGTAGCAGCAATAGCCGTCGTGGTGATGGTGATGGTGATGGTGATGGTGATTGCAATGGCAATGGCGATGGTGGTGATGGTGATGATGGTGATGATGGTGGTGGTGCTGCAGCGGTAGGAGTAGTCATAGAATTTGTAGCTCATCATCTTGTCCAAGTTCTTGAAAGAACGTAGTAGACAATTGTATCCGCGATTCGTGAAGCTCCAGGATCTGACCGTAAGCCGGAGACCAGGCCGTCGGCTGCTTTCAGCGCGGTCTGGTCTTCTAGGTGAGTGGCTACTGTTTATTAAACGCATGTGGCTTCTGGGAGGGAGCCCGTGAGGTGTCACTGATACCCAGCCGCTGGTTGAGGATCCCTGCCAGAGCCCGAGGAATGCTTTGAAGAGGTAAAGCTACACCTAGCACGAAGGCAAAACTGTCGTGACTTTCCTAGGCGTTTCACAGCCCTTATGGCCTATGCCACCCGGGTAGCACGCATGTCTGAAACTATCCCCAAATCTTGAACTCTGAGCCACAACCCCAAGTAAATCCCAACCTAAAACTGAAAACCCAAACCGCATACATACCCCACAGTCATACCCCAAAGATGCTCCCATCCCAAAACCGTAAGGATGCCTCAGAGTTGTCTTCCAAGTGCTTTGGCTGTGGCGGATTTCATAGCATCCGGCACTCCAACCAAGACGACCTCCGTCAGCAGAGAGTTTGCTGCGACCAACCCAGACCGTAGAGTTGCAGTTCGACTCTATGCCCTGCCCAGGAGACCTGATTGTACCTGAAAATTTCATGCCACGGACTTGCCTCCGACAAACTGTCGTTAGCGCCGCGAATCGCTTCCGCTAGCGCGACTCCGACATCGCCTGTGTTTGGAGTCAGGGGCTTGAGGCTTTGCGCATAAGCTCATGGTATACCTGGAGAATCATGTCTGATTACTTGGAACTCCGGCTACAAAGCAGGATAACTATAGCTTGATCTATAGTACTCCGTAATGGCCTCAGCTGCGGTACTCCTACCCCTACTACGCATCCCTACGCATACCTTACGATGAACCTTCAAGCAAGGTGAAGAAAGGGTCTCGGGCTTAGGAGTTGGGAGTCGCTTGAGGTTTGGCTGGTTCAGAGTTTCCTACAGGTCCGAGGAAGCCACCAGGGTTGTTCTTGAACACGCCGCAGCCGACGCCCGGCACTAGGACCGTACTGGCACTCGCAAGTGCTGCCTGCGCGAAGAACCGTGGGAGCGACAAGCTTCTGGGGGGTCCCGGGGATTACGGAAGACTTCATCAGGATTCAAAGGGGGTGATATGGGAGTCCACAAGAATTCTGGGGCTAGAACGGTGGAAGCATGAGCTGTCAAGGTCAGCATGATCCTCGGGATTATGATTCTGGCAAGCCCTTGGTATTGACTGCTCAGGCGATGATCATGACGAGAAGAAGAAGAAGACGATACTGTAGCAGTCATAGGCATGATGCTAAGACAAACACCAGGAAAATCATGGAAACCGCGGCCCCTGAGCCCCAGACCCAAAATAGTGCGGACTTTACAGTTCCGGGTGGCGAGCTGATCAAGCCATCGCAAGGGAAATTGGCCTGTGCTTCGCATGCCAAAAGGCCTAAACTGACAAAGGCCTAAACTGACAAGAAACCCTAGGCAGTCCGCCTTGAATAGGGTGGTGGTCTTTATTGGCCTCTTTTGGGGTTCCATGTCGGTTTAGGGGAGGGCGAGCCCTTCCCTATTCTACTGATCCCTACCTCAACCTGTACTATTCCCTGAGAACTCCAAACCTTAAATTCCTCGCCCTAAGGCCTTAGCCCAAGCCAAGGCACCCCATAGAGTGCTACTTTGAGCTTGTCTGCCAGAAGGGCCTGGTACCTGGGGCTTAAATCTAGGGAGGTGTATTACGATGCGAGCCGTATCTATAACGGTATTCGCCCGGCACTATATAGGATATTGTTTGGTTATACCTTGGGTTTTCTCGATCTAGGCTTAAACTACGTAGGGTTTATGGTTTTCAGTTTTAACTCTGAGGCACACAGGATAACCAAAAGATGCTTGTGGCATAAGCAAGGGTTCTGCGTACATGAAGTTCACCAAGTCCGGGATCCTGAAACACTGAACTCAGACCCCAGAGCCTTGAATAATTCTCACGTAGGACCAGCACGCCGAGGTAAGTCCCAAATGCAAACCTGGAGAAATGCAAAGCCTGAAGCTAACACAGGCCATCAACTGAATCAACTGAGCAAGGATTTCATGAGATCTCTCCTTCGTAGTACGGAAGACGACCCTCCAAAAAGCACATGGAACCTCAAAAAGGAAGCCATACAGGGGGCTTTGGCCCGGCCTCCCAGAAATGGGGGGGGGGTGGCGTATGTACTCCCCCAAAAACTGTATAAACTTTATTGAAGGGACCCAAAAAAGGTGGAGTCATTGAGTAATCTCAAGAAAGATTAGGATGCAGCTTTCGCGTCAAAAATGTCCTTATTTGAGGGGCCTGGGTCCAAGGGGTCCAGATGGATACTGGGAATTCATAACGATCCTTGAGGTGAACCAAGGCGTACCAGGGACCAGGGGCTACCAAATTCATTGCTCCTTGGACCTCACCTTAAGAAACAAGATGATGCAAGATAGCCACGCCCCGGCATCTGCTGGGGCATCCAGTGGCGAGTCCTGCAGCTTCTGGCTTAGGGTTTGAGACTCAGGGTTTATTCAAGATTGAAGGCTTGGGGTTCAAGGTTTTCAGTTTGCGCCCTGGCATTTCTGGCTTAGGCTTCGGCATAAAAAGGCACAATCTCCACTAGCGGACTAACGTTGCTGAAGATAATCCTGCGTTGCCTACCTGACACCGCCCAAATCCTACAGCTTCTGCTGTGAACCTTCAAGGTAATCTTGAAGGAGAACCCTTTCAGAGTATGTCAACAATGTTCCAGCCGGTCTTAGGAAGGATGATTTCGTGCTTTGCGAGGGAAGTTCCTCATGACTTTTGGGTCAACATGAAGACAAGTAGTCCTTTGCAGCAATGTTACTTCATTATGATGGGTAGCCGGCCACCAAGCCAGCAGGCGGATGTTAAACAGACCCTATCACCTGAAAGAACACGGAGACATTATGGATCGGGTGCTGCCTGGGGATTATTATTTGTGATTCTAAGGCCTGCTATAAAGATCCACCTGTCCACCATAATCCCTGAAACCCTGTGGCCCACTTGTGGCCTTCACCGCGGGATTCATGTTAGGCATCGCCACGCTTACGACCGCTGCCAACTCCTCAGGTCTAGGGTATGAGGGTCAAGCATCATGACCATGACCATCAACATCGTCGTCATCATCATCATCACCTTGCAACGTCCCCAAAAGAATTGTTTGGCGGGGAGAGGTACCTTGGGAACCAGTGGGATCGTTGGGAAACGGGTATTTGGGATTTCCAGAGTACCTTTACACAACTTGTGATTAATCACGAATCACCATCATCATCACCATCACCACCGTCATGAAAGCACGTGACACCCTGATGAAAAACTGTAGCAGTGACAGGCTAGGATTTCGAGGCTGCCACTGTAATCTAGCCCATTCCTTTAGCCCCTACGAACCAGAAAGGAGGTGTCCCGTCGTTGGCCTGAAATTCATTCACGGTGAAAACCCTGATCCACAAGAACCTACGAGAAACTGGAAAGTAGGCACCAAGCTAAAACCACAACACCACAAAGCGCAACACTACCTGAACCCTAAACCCTGAACCCAACTTTTATCCCACACACATAAAAAAGATGTGTTCTATATACAGATACATTTGTCTGCGTATCTGAAGTTGTACTGCTATGGCTATATCTGTACACATATACACATTTGCCTATCTTATCTATTTTTGGGTTTATGGTTTGTGTAGGGCGTAGGGCTGTTCAGGATTCAGGGTTGAAGATTGAACGGTTTCTCAAAACACGGAAGCAGGGCGGGTCTCGGGAAACCTGGGGATAACAAGGATCACAAGATTATCAGCAGGGTCCCTTTTCGGGACTCTCAGAAATTCCTGTATGAGCTGGTATAGGTTTCCACATACTTTATTTTGCATGCATGGCCAATGTTTTGAATGCCAGTTTAGTACAAGTACTTGAGAAGACTGCGAGATCACTGGACTCGTAGATTTGCGAAGGTAAACTGCCTCGAAGTAGGGCTTGAAGTATGCGTGAAGCAAGGTGCTGTGTAATTTGTTTATGGATCCGCGCGGGCTCACGCAATGCAACTTTTACAGGGGGCGGGTACTACTAAATTCCCTGGGCCGGAGAAAACCACCTAGGGGACATATTCAAAACGGGCCCTGGGAATTAATTGTCTTGTCTAGGGAGACAACATGACGAAGGAAAATTCATCACGAAGCGCTTGATGACTTGCCATTGAAAACTAATAAATTTCCTCTGCTGTTCCTCCTTGTACTCCGAATTCTCCTCCTACTCCTCGTACTACTACTACTACTACTACTACTACTACTACTACTCCTACTACTCCTACTACTCCTACTACTACTACTACTACTACTACTCTACTACTACTACTGCTAGCACGAGCCAGCCAGTTATTTTCCTATTTCCCGAAGCGGCTTCTACTTATGCCTTGGTATGGCCCAGCATCCACGGCAGTCTTCAGGAAGGAGTATCCTCGGCATGCTCCACGCTCAACAATGCTTTAAAACTTAAACCTAACCTTAACCCCAAGCCGATGTTTACCACTAGGAGTGCCAACCCATGCCTTTGATGCTTCCGGGCTCACTGGGGACCCAGACCCAGGCCATCCCAGGCCCTAAGGGCCCGGGTGCCCAGCCCCCTTCCCAGCCCCCGCCTCAACCCCCCCACAGCCCCCTGAACCGCACGCGTACCATCCCCCTTAAATTTCCCCCCTTGAAACTTCGTTAGGCTACAAGTCACGGAACGCGCAGTCTTTTTGCGATTTGACCCAAGACGCCTGCAACGTGCAGCAACAGAGCTCTTCGCACAAGATCACTACATGTGCAATGATATCAAAAGCTAGCGGAATTTTTCCACCTGTACAAGCCAACACAACACGAAGTTGATCTAGGCTCTCAGACTAAAACAGGGACATTTCACAAGCCCAAAGCACCGACAGGCTACGGCTTAGATCTGAAAACCTACGGGGCTCAAATCCAAAGTCCGCCCGCGGTCCGGCGGACCATAGTGGCGGACCATCACGGAACTTCAGCGGCAGCCGCACCTGCCAATCAGCTCCGCGTTCATGAGAACAGTTGCGCGTGCTTTCAAAGTTGCTTTCGGCCGGGGACAGAAGAGGAACGCCACTCCCTGTCACAGCAAGTCCGTAGCTTGTACTGCTCACTGTTCATCCGCCTTGACCCCAGCTTTGCGGGCCTCTTCCTGGGCTAAGGCCTTCTCAAAGCCAAAGAGCTCTTTGACCTTGGGGCCACTTTGGACATATATACTCCTCTTGCGGAACTTCCTGAGGCCAAGACCTTGCGACAGAGGAAGCAGCTGCCCTGCCAATTTGCACGACATGACCAAACAAGAAAACCGTGTGCTCGCATCCTCCACGCAAGGTCCTGAAACCATGGGGTTACGATCTGTTGTCGCGCCATGGCAGAGAGTGCAGCAAGCTCGGGCGATAAGTTTACAGTTTTGAGACTTCGTAAGGGAATTCCCATGTGGCACCATGGTATGCAAAAACCGTCTTGGAGTATAGCACATTGACTAAACGGGGCGTGTCCAAATTACGATGTTTTCGGTTTTTTTACTTTCAGCGTCAGGCCTTCCCAAGAACAGCAAGAGAATTCAGAAGCCAGTGTTTCCATTTTGGCAAGTGAAGAATTGTCCAAGATTTTGAGCCATTCCAACACCTCCTGATAGGACCAAGGTTCGCATCGATTATGGGTGGGGATACACGAACCTAGAAAAAGAGGATGTAAGTTGGAGGGTTGACGCGTCAGGGTGTAGGGTTGAGTTAAAGGATTTGGCCCACTTTGTGTATTGACTCGGCTTGTTTTTGATGCTTTGATTCAAGGAGGGTATTCTCTTTGGGCGAACTTTAAGTCAAAACGCTGACGTCGTCGGATTTCAGAACTCTTGGAAAATTAAATGTTAAGGCTTAAGGCTTAGGGTGGGGGAGGTCACAATATTCTTGCTGCCAAGATGGAGTAGGCCCCACCCCAACTAAAGCCCGATGCCCAAAAATCGTACACCAAAAAAATTTGAAATTCAGAGCTCTTAGACAGAGCGCTGCGGAACTGCTGGAACCTCGTGTCCTGGAATCGCGGGCATCTCGGGTTGACCATCTGCCATGTTCCCAGAACAGCCCCCAACTGAAAAGTTGCGTAGACTCTGGCACACTGGGAAGCAGGCCTAAGGGCGCTAGCGCTAGCGTTGTTCTGCATAGGTTTGCTTGTGCTAGCTTCCTGGGCCTAAATGGCAGCCGGGATGAAAGATTTCAGGGTGCTCTTCAATTTCAAGAGTAAACCTTACTGAGGGTTATGGGTTTATAGAAGCTGTGTATAAGATGAGGGCCAAGCCGATTCTTGTGACTTCCTTGAATTTGCCACAATTATATGAGGCTCTTTACAAATGACAATTGTGACCGTGATGTGACTGTTGGTACTTGTTATATGCGAGGAAACCACGAGGGGCTAAACGTGCGACAGTTGCCAGGATGGCGGCTTTGACGACAGTTCCGAGGATGGCAACCCCGAGCGGCCACAGCTCTGCGACTGTTGACACTTTTGAGGCGGCGGGGGAGGGGGGGGGGGGGNNGGGGGGGGTGGGGGTGAAGGCTGGTGGGAGGGTATATCCCTATATCCTTGAACCTATATACGCCTGCATGCCACCCGAAACCCTCAAGCCTCTGCAAGAGCCATGGCAGGTCGAGTCTCCGGTGTTGGAGCCACCACGAAAGACCTCGCGGCTGATCGTCAAAGAGTCTTTGGGGCTTGCCGAGAACTACCGGTTTCTTTGTGGGAGCACTAGAACACATTACGAACTGGGCAGTTCATAAAAAATGCGGGCCAATCCCCATCCGTAATCTGCGCATTTCTTGCTAAGGGGTGAAGCTGTTCCAATCCGTACTCCGAGGCCCCTTGGATTCCGTAATCCGTCGCCAATCCGTAATCCTGCTCAGTAAGAGCAACTCTTCGGCAATGACAGAGAAGCAGCAGCGGTGGCGCAGGCAGACTGAACATTTCTGGAAACCCACAGTTAGGGATTAGGTTCAAGGCTTAGGGCGTGGGATTTCAGGATTTGGTTTGGGGATGTAGAAACAAGGCATTCGGCATTAGGTCGAGGCTGATCCTGCCGGGGCAGAAAGCCTGGAACACAAGAGAAGTCAGTCTCAGGCAATACTCCAGGTTCGGGGTGTCAGTCTTGACGACTTCAGGGCTTTAAGTTTAGGACTTCGAGTTTGCAGGAAGTATGACATATACAGAGAAAACGAAGACAATGCTCTACTTGGTTACAGCAGCAAGTGCAGTCGTCGCAGATGACGGTTTATTGTACTGGCAGCTTGTTAACGTGAGCAATGAGTAGTCGTTGCATAGCGATGCTTATTCTTAGGCTTTGGTCGGGGTTTAGAAGATCGGATTCTGCCAAACCAGAAACACGGAGTCCGAAAACCTGAACTCCTCCAAGCCGTACATTCCTGATTCCTACATCTTTCACGCGGAACCATCCATCCCACATCCTAAGTTCTAAACACTACACTCTAAACGCTTCCCACCTCCACTGAAGGCGAGAGTATTGCGCCCCGCTCGGGAATATAGCAGAACCAGTCTTGCCTGCGCAGGAGGGTCAGTCAAGTTGTTATACCACGCCTTTTGCTGCTAGATCCGGCAGGGTTTCGAGTTTAGGCAGATCCGTTGTTTGACTAGGTAGGTCTTTAAGTTTCTGATAATCAAGTAACCCACAGCATCTGGGCCTGTGTGTTGAAATTTGGAACGGAACAGATGTACACTTCATGTTGAGCGTGAAGCTTCCGTGAAGCAGTTGGCCTGTCCTAAAGAAACTCCCCACAATACTCGGGGGACCCCAAATTTTTTCGACTCCAGTACACTGGCAGCATCCTTCTTATGGGTACCCCAAGGATGGGTCCCTGATTTTTGGAAACACCACATATAACTCTTGAAGGAACATAGCAAGCCAGGTTCCTGAATCCCAACTATATCCTAAACCCAAAATCCCATATCTGAAACCTCAAAATATTAAGACATGATACCTGCCATCTGCTTTGAGACGCTC